TTCTTGGCTTTTTGCTCCTTACATTTTCAATCCCTCTGGTTTCGAGTGGCAAAAGTAAGTTTCCTGCTGTCATTGTTACTTTCATTGATTAAAATGTTATATTTTCATGATAGTAAACACCTATTTAGGTCTTCCAAAAAATATTAATGTTATTTTGGTCCTCCTATGATTAATATTTAAAAAATGTTCCTTCAATGTTAACTTTTGATACTAATTGATGTCAAAAGTGACATTGAATGACCCATCTGATATTAAAAGAAAAATTGAAATTGAAAGACCACTTTGATGACTTTATTGTTGATGGAACAAACTATGACAAATTTGTATACTAAGATGAATAAAGTAGCTGTTATTGATTTTAATTTTGTTGCAGTTTAATTTCTAAGTGGACCGTTTCATGTTTATGGAATGATGATGAAATTATATGACAGGGTGTGAACTAGTGTTTATCTTTCTAATCTGATTTGCTGGTAAACAGGACTGTGGAAGATTTTGATGATTGGACTAGTTGGCTTCTATACAAAGGAGGAGTAGGAGTAAAGGGAGAAAATAGTTGGGAGTCTTGGTGGGACGAGGAACAGGTGAACATTGATTTTTTCACTGGACTTGTTTGTATGATTTTGGGGTCAGAATGTACTACTTCACATTATTATTTTAACCGTTTATGATTAAATCTAGTAGTTAAAGTTTATCCCTCACATTAAAAAGTCTTCTCATTTGATACATTCTCTACATATATAACCGATGTTGTTTGCACATTCAGCATGCTAGAATAGCCTTGCTGCCACTATTAACTACTAATGTCTAATGACTGTTGCTCATTCTGCAGATGCATATCCAAACTTTGAGGGGTCGTATTTTAGAGACAATTTTGAGTGCAAGGTTCTTCTTGTTTCAATATGGTGTTGTGTATAAGCTACATCTTACCGGAAAAGATACATCACTTGCGGTAAACTTTTCAGTCTTTATCTATGGATTACATATTCATCATCTACATAGTCCTAACAATAAAAACATAATATAAAACTTCTGCATTGTTGCTGTACTAATTATGTGTATGTGAAAAGGCTTATAGCTTCTAGCAATATTTCATTAATATAAAGCAAATATTCGACTCTTAGATTCTGATTCTTTTCTATTTTGTAGGTATATGGTTTCTCATGGGTTGTCTTGGTTGGAATTGTTTTGATATTTAAGGTTTGAACATTTCCTGATAATTTAATCTTTTTTATATATTTTCTCATTTTGTGGACAAATTTTTAGTTTATTTTTATCTTTCCCTTTTAAACTTTTTTGCACACCCCTTTCTTAGGATTCTGATATTTCCTCTCTTTGCAGATCTTTACCTACAGCCCAAAGAAATCAGCCGATTTTCAGCTAGTGTTGCGATTTTCACAGGGACTTGCAGCTATAGGCCTTGTTGCAGCAGTGTGTCTTGTTGTTGCCTTTACTCAACTGTCAATAGCAGACCTTTTTGCAAGCATCCTTGCATTTATCCCTACCGGATGGGGAATATTATGTGTGAGTTCTGATTTATTTTTGTATGATATTTTTTGTGATATTTTAGGATCTAATAGATGCCACTGTCTGCATTGAATCAACATGGGATTGTGTCAGACAACCTCTCAGTCCTAACACAGCATGATGTAATTATTGGAAGTTCCCATGGTGCCCTTAGTTTTTTTATGCCCTGTAGCATGGCCTACTGGGTTCTGCCTTGAGATTTATCCACATGCATCCTAAGTCCATAATACTTCCAAACGGTAAGGATTAGTTAGGGTGTGATACAGAGGTTCCATCACGAAGAACCAATAACAGTGTACCATAGAAATTCCAATGGGGAGTACATTTGAAACTTTATAATAAAGTATGGTGCTTTAAGGATGGTTTTATCGCAACTTAAGGTGTAGCTAAGTAGAGAATGAAAATGCTATGGCTAAGTATTTGTTCTTCTTGATATCTGAAAAAGGACATGTAAGAAAATGCTATTGGATCGTCTAACTGTCTTTTGCCAAAGGTCCGAATAGAATTAGTTTCTGTAAAATGACTAATCATTACTACTTTAATTATTTGAACTTTTGTCATTGCTGGCATTTGACGTTAATTCCCACTCTTAACATTGTTGAGATTTTCTACTCTTTTCAGCTGGCAATTGCATGGAAGAAGATAGTTTGGAGTCTTGGTTTGTGGGACTCTGTACGCGAGTTTGCCAGAATGTATGATGCCGGAATGGGTATGATCATTTTTGCACCAATAGCATTTTTATCTTGGTTTCCATTCATTTCCACTTTCCAGTCTCGCCTTCTCTTTAATCAAGCCTTTAGCCGTGGTCTTGAAATCTCTCTCATCCTTGCTGGAAATAAAGCTAATGTTGAGGCTTAACGTTTTTTGTCATTTAACATTGTATCCCTGCAGGGTTCTTGTATATTTTAGATTTATATTATCTTGTAGCATATCGTGATTTGGTTGTACATTTAATGTAAGAGAAAAAACAGGAAAGACGAGTTTTTTAATCGGTGTGTTAGCTTTGCCATGTTCAGAGGTTCGGTTTCCACCATTATACATTTTGTCTTGATCATCAGTCTTAGGCACTTTACTTACAATGAAATTTGAGGTCAACGCCACTTGAATGCATGTACTCATAACTGAGCGGCCATATCAGAGATTGACTATGGTTTAGCTGTAAAACCAACACAAAGAAAGGGGGAGGGGCTCTTGCCTCTGACTCTGAAAATGCTAATTTGCATGAAATAACATTCGTGAAAACTGTATTAATGACAATCTTTTCAGGAGCTCAGTAGTTCAATACCATTGAGTGATCTGCAAAGCAATGCTTTTCCAATATCCATAGAATTCCAGTCTCCCCGCGTCCAAAATTTCTAAAAAAATGTGCCAAAATAAACTTACATGATTAAATAGAAGTAAATGCAAATATTAAATTGCATTTAGAAAATGTCAACTACAGATTTTAGGGCAAAATTCAAGGAATTAATATTAGTAAAATTTAATTAAAAAATATTATATTGGTAAAAGTTTAATACAATAAATATGTTCTTTTCAATAAATAAAAATATTTTTTATTTGGTTAAAGTGTCTAAGGGATAAGTTCAACAAAACTCTTGTTTTTAAAAATCTAACGAAAATTTTGGAAAAAAAAAAACTAATATACCTACAATTTGCTCTATAGATACTAAAAAAAGGAAGAATAAAGTGGCAAAAATTAATTGCATATTTTCAAAAGCTTAACTTGCGCTTTTCATTAATCAATACTGCCAACGTTTCTTCTTATATTACTTTTGCGGGATTTTTATATTATTTATTCGACGAATAATATATGAAATGTAAGAAAATGAATGAGATAAAAGACATTAAAAAATTACAAGCATGAGTGATGACTCCATTTTTATTGCAAAAATTTATAAATATAAATTTTTTAATGTGTGCATCATAAAATAAAAACTGATACATGATAATTTTTTTTATTAAAAATCACAGAATTTGATACATTAATAAAACTAAATGATATAATTTTTAACTAAAATTTAACATTTATTAATATTTTGTATTGTATATTCTTTAGACTCATTAAAATAACCGGTTAAATATTAGTTTCTTTGTAGACTTATATTTGAAGCCAAGCCAACAAGCATGCAAACCAGGACTAAACTAAGCCAGCCAACAGTGATGACTACTGAATAAATAAGTCGAGATAAAGCATAAAAACCACGGTTTGACACTTCACAATCATTGCAAATGCGGAGATGAAATTTTAATTTTTAAAGTAAAACACTACAAAATCACCTAATTTTTCTATCATAATTTTTACTAATCATTTTAGTTGAACACTTACCCAAATAACCAATTGGTATGATTGCTATTTTGAAGTTTTAATATACACGTAACATAAATTATAAGTAAAATTAGTACATTAGTCCATTAGCTTTCAGTTTTATTTGAATTTAGTTTTTAACTGTCTCATTTTGGTCCTTTAATTTATAAAACTATTTTAAATAGTTTTTTTATGTTTATTTTCTTTCTTCTTGTAAACTTTGACAAAAATATAAATTTTTTAGCAGCTTCATTTTCTCTTCTTTCATCTTCTTCCTCTTACTTCTCAATGACATTTTATTCTCTTTAAACTCTATCTTTTTTTGTTTTATTTATTTTTTACCTTTTTATTCACACTTTCATGACCAGTTTTTCCTCTACCACTCTCTTCCTTTTGAACTCCAACAAAAAAAATTCTCTCCTTCTTTTCGTCCTCTAACCTTTCATTCATGTTTCTATTCTCCTTTTCCTTTTCTTTTCTTCTTTTTCATCCTCTTACCTTTTTCATTTATGTTTCCATGACCTGTTCTCCCTTTGAACTCCTAAAAGAATCTTCTCTTTACTCTTCTTTTTCTTCTTTCTTTTATCTCTCATTTAGGTCCCTACAACCCATCCTCTCCTCCCCTCAAACTTTAACAATTTTTTTTTTCTATTAGATTTTCTGATTGGGCCTTAGAATCATAGGAGAAAAAGTCATCACCACCCTTGCCTCACTCCCCATTTTCTCATACAATCCTAAAACTCAATCTACAAATTCACCAAAAAAGTGAAAAGATTTTGTCAAAATTCAAAGAGAACTAGGAAATGGGATGTGAAGGTGTGAATGAGGATAAAAGGAAGACTAAAAAAAAAAAAAACATTTTTTTTTTTTTTTTTTTAGTTTAGAGTTTGAAGAGACAAAAAAGTATAAATGAAAGGCAAAAGGAGAGAGAGATTTTTTGTTTGGTTAGATTTCCAAAGGAGAAAGAAAGATGTGATGAATACTTAGATGGAAGTTAAAAGGAGGATGAAAGGCAAGAAAATAACAAAAAAAGAAAGAGACAATAAATTTTTTTGTTAAAACATACTTTATTTTTAATAATTCTTAAGGGAGACATTTTTAATAAAAAATGACTTATTTAAAACACTTTACAAGTTAAGTGATTAAAAAAAAAGTTAAAAAAACTAAATCGAAACAAAACAAAGTTAAATGACCAATCTATTAACCTTGCTTAAATTATACTGTCCACATGCTGAAGAATAAAATTAAAAAAAATGAAACATTGAAAACATTCATAATTAATGATTAAAAGTTTGAATTGGGAGCTAAACACTCGTCAATAACAACAAAATCAAGGAGTCAAACAACCTTCCAATGGCTGAGCTTGGTGTTATGCCTTGTAGCCGAGTGGATGAAGCCATAACTTTCAGACTTCAAGAGGCTCGCAGGAGTGTGGGTTTTTGTCAGAGTGGGAGCACAGAGATGGTGAGGGAAAGGGAATCAGAACAGGTTAAATGAAAAGGGGAGGCAAAGTCCCCATTATGGAAAACCAATTTAAATGGTACAAAAATAGGGCCGGAAACGGCTTTTACGCCGTCTGCAAAAACGACGATCTCAAAATCCTGCGAAAGTAGCTTGTGTTTTGCGCCGCTCCAGCTGCAATCGTGAAGTGCTCTACAACAGTGGTGATTGGAGCGGGCAGGGGCCGCTACGCTCCATGAAGGTACTATAGCACTGCTATCGCATGCTATTTAAACCTATGGCACAGTTTTCTCTTGCATTACTCGAAGTTCATAATTCAATAGGCAACCACCATACAAAAACATGAAAATCCACATTCATACCCATCTTACACCAGCCCGACCATAGTCTAATAATAATCCAAGTGAAAGAAAACAAACCAGAAGCAAAAGATAATCTACCAAAGCTTATGTTACTTGTAATAAAACTTCTATTTGGCATATATATATATTGATTGCTATTCTGCAAAGCTTGTGCCTCATTAGGCATAACTAGTGAATTTAAATAAATTTATCAAGTTTGAGAAGAAAATTACAAATTATGGGTGATAAGCATACTCAAAGCCAGAAAATCCTTGAGAGAATGTTTACACAGACTGCTGATTTGCATCACTGGCACCTCCATTTGCACCCATCTCAGCCACTTCAACACTTGCTGAGTTTGTGAAAGAGGATTGTTGATCAAGTCCAGGCATAGATGAGGGTGGTGGGTTTATGGGGTGGTCAAACTTACAAGCTGGTCCAAATTTGCAAATTCCATAACGGCTGTAATGCGTGCAAACATTCTGGTCCTGAATTTCATAACACATTTAATATAGATCAGAGAAACTCGCAAGTCAATTTTGTTGTGTCATGACAAATAAAAAAAAAACCCTGAAGGAATAAGTGTTTCCCAAATCAGAATTAATAATCTCTAGATTGCATAACTGTTAGTTCCATTTTAAAGAATTTAGATTTGCACCACATCACAACTAAAACAGGTTATAACTTGCGAGAAACTTGAACACAAGTACACGAAGGCATGCATATCAACCAAAAAGGGGCTTCTAGATCAGTTTAGTACACACTTAAAAGTATGGTTAAATATCGGGTGGATTTTTTTCATACAAAATCATTGCTATTTCCACCTATCTAAGCTTAAGCAGCACTTAAAAAAATTGTTATGATACAATTATTATGAAACAGAATGCTCTTGTTTCACTCAAACATTATTTGAATGATGTGAACATGGTAAAACCTTTTCTTGTTTGAAACCAACAGCTTTGCATGATGTGAACACATCAAAACCTCTTTTTTGTTCGGAACCAACAGCTTTTGTGTACTAAATTTCTCATGAAATAATTTCTTTCAATATGAAAATAAGAGAAGACTAAACACACACTGTGCAATAAAAGTAAGAATAAGCTATTAAAGCTATGGCATTTTTATTTTAGAAAAATAATTCCCATTCTAATTCTTCCTAGCTCAGGAAAATAAATAAATAAATAATGAAATGAAATTCATTTTTTACAATCTTTGTGCAAGCAAAAATGCAGAATAAAACAACTTACTGGTCTCAATGGTAGACCCTTGTCACTGAGGTTGCATGGAGGTAACCTTGCAATCCGATTCTTGGGATGATGAAATTTACAATTAGATTTAAACTTGCAATCTCCAGTTTTTAAGAAGTAGCTGCATTCAGGTTCACCAGGCCTTTCTGGAAACTCTTCAACTGGCATTTGATTTTGATGGTGCATATAAACGTTTGTTTCCATAGCTGGGTTGTTCATGACATATGTCGAAGGAGGGTGAAGAGTCCTCTCAGATAGATAAACAGGCGCCTGTACAAATCACAAATTGATCAAAATGCTGGGAAAATAATCACAATTTAGGGTTGACAGGAAGAATAGTCAACTCAAAGCAAGCCCCATAAGAATCAAGACAAGCATCAAAATAATGAATAATAAGAAGGCTGAGGATTTATAAAAAACAGGCTGAGAAAATGAGAAAAAGCAGAGGAAAAGGAGAGAAAATAGAGCCTAAAGAAAGAAAGCAATCTATGACTTATAAATTTTAAGTAACTAATGATGGGCATATATATCTCAATCCTTAAAATAACTTATAACTCATTCCACTATTCAGTATTCACTGTACAAATAATACAAACACTGGGAATATATAGACAAGTGTGTAACAGCAAGCTGGTGGCAGGATCCAACATATATTTGCATGAACAGAGAACATAACATGCAACAAAAAATTGGCAGACTAATTTGCCATCATGTACTGGTAACGTAATAGAATGTCCCTAGCTAGAAAGTTATTGGCATTGAATCTATTAATTTACCTGATATCCATTCCATTCAGAATTTTGGGGAGAAACCCCTGGATTAGGTGAAAGTATCATTGGCACCAAAGGAGCAGATTCATTTAATGTTCTAGTAGAAGACCACGAGGGAATAGATGATTGTGATACACCTTGTAATGAAATAGAAGTTCCATTACTATACCCTGAAGGAGAATCACATCCTCCAACAGTTGTAGGATCAGGATGATTAAACTTGCAATTTGCCCCAAACTTACAAGAGCCAGTGCGCATGTAATAGACACACTCTTTCTCTCCCTGTCATGTAAAACAACCCATTAAATTTCAGGGATAAGTATTTCAGACAGTATGTAAAGACAAAAAAATAGTATACACAAACTTTAAGCATATCTTGCTTAGTAAGAAACTCAGGTTATACCACACGAATAGGCAAGCCAAGGAAGTTAAGCTCTACAATTGGAGATGCTGTACACTTTCCTCTTGTGTGGTTAAACTTACAAGCTTTTCCAAACTTGCATCCCCCAGACCTTAGATAATACTGCCATAACATCAGGAAACAACAAAAGAAAGGGTTTGTTATGAGCTTGTAATAAATAGTAACATTTAGTATGACATGCAAAGACATGACTCAAGAAAGAGATTAAACATATACACCATATACAAACATGCTTCATCCCAAATTTAGTAATGAGATAAAATCATTTTTCATCTTAGTAAAGCTAGGCCAGTATGAGCACAGAAAAGAAAACAAGAAAAAACAAAACAACAGAAAACCAAAAAAAGGGAAAAGCTTCACAATGACCAAACATAGACCAGTCCATGGTAGAATTTTCTCTTTTCTTTACCATGATCCATGGTTAATGGACACCACATAGATAGCAGATACCAATGCCTAATCTGAAAATGTATAACAAAAAAAGATCACTTAACTCTCAGCCCCCTGACAACTATTGAGTTCTGTTGCTTCTGCATATTGATCAAGAATTCTAAAACAGAATAATACTTTTTATATGATTATATCACTCACTCAGTCAAAGAGTAGGTGACTGTTTACATTAACTAGTCAAATCCATTCTCCCTTAATGGCACAGGGATTAAATGAGAAATAGCATGAAAAGTACCCAAAATTCAATGCATGACATACAAATAATCAATGACCTAGTGTAACTAGTCACATGCCTGAATAAACCTCCTTGTGTTAACCTTACTCAATCTTCCACAGAAAATACCGTGGGCAGGGAAACTTGCATTTTAATAAATAAATGTGATCAACTGAAACACCCTTAGCAAAACTATTTACGAGAAAGAATGGGCCTAACAGAAAGGATGGATCACTTGGGAAAAATGGATAAATGACCATAGGAAGGAATGTGACAAAAGCAAAGTCTGTTACACAAGAACAGTAAGCAAATTGTGAATGGAGAGAATCATAGGGAAATGATTTTGAATCAGCAGGCAAGGGGAAATTAAAAGGATCATTAGGAGTCTGTTTGGGATAGGCAAGTTCTGAGAGAATATTGGGACTTGGGAGGTCTGGTAGGTTGTCTGGGACCCTTTTGGCTTTTTAATTTCAGTTTTACTTATTTTGCTTTTCCATTTCATGGTATTTCCAGAGGACTACCTCAGTCATCTTTGAAGTTAGTCTCTCATATTAATATGTGAGATATTGATATCTAAAATTCTGAGACCTTAACATCAACTTATAAGACTACGTTAAAAAAACCAGATGATACAATATTAAACCTAATGTTTGCAAACCAATGGGAGTTAAGTCAAGTGGAAAGGGCTAGTCTTCCAGAAAATGGCAAACCATGGCTCAAACCCATCTACAATAGACATTTATATTTAGTGCCAGACAATGCTTTGGGCTAGATTCTCTCCTTTGGAAGAAACCTATGAGAAACCCAAAAGAAAAGAAAAAAAAAAACTAAATTTAACAAAATAATTTTGACAATACCTTGCATTCTGTCTGGCCTGATCTTTCAGCAGGTTCATCTCTTTCCCCCGCATTCTCTTTCATAGCCTTCATTTAGAGTTAAAACATCAAAACTCAGAAGAAGCTTTAAAGAAGTGAACATGGCATAAGATGTTTCCATTTTAACAATGCCCAAGAGATGCAAATTGATGCTCAATCATCATATAGCTCCAACTTAAAGATAATACTTTCTCCTTTCTTTTATACCCTGGCAAAAGTTCTTAAAGAAATCCCACATGGGAAACCTCACCAAAGAGAATTGTTTTATAAAGTTTTGGCAAACTATATGGGAAAAAAGGAAACCCAAAAGACATTTAAAAGCATATCACGAAGCAATTTCTTCAGAAATCACAACTGACTATTGACTACCAGTCATGATGAACAGTTAGTAGCAGTCCTTCAAATCAAACTTACAGTCTTCACTCTTCAACCAAACATTTAATGCAAGCTTACATAATAATTAATTACTAATAGTGTGATATATATATATATATATATATATATATAGAGAGAGAGAGAGAGAGAGAAGGAAGAGACAGTGATACCTGGTTCGTCCTCCTAACGGGATGATTGAACTTGCAATTGAATCCAAATTTACAAGTCCCAGTTTTGAGATAAAATGCACAGTCTTCAGCTTCAGGCCTCAACGGGTACTGTTGTGTTCTACCACTGTTTCTCTCATCCTTGTTCTCCACTCCATCAACATCTCCACCCACCTTATCACTCCCACTCTCATTCACATTCTCAATCCAATTACACCCCTCGTCACCACCATTCCAACCATCATCACCATCACCATCATCATCAAACCCCTGTCCCTTACCATCTTCTGGCTCAGCAACTTCAGTACACAACTGTTCACCCCCAGCTACAAAGTTCGAACCTTTATCATCAGTTTCACCCCCATCCTTCAAATCCAACTTGTTCTGAATCTCCCCCACAAGCGCTTCGTCAACCTGATTAAGGTGATTGAGATCTGGGGCTTGAGGATCGTGATCGTGATCGTGGTGGGAAAGAGGGGAAGAAGGTTCACCCAATTGAGGGTCTTTGGCGGAGGAAGAAACTGATTCGGATTCAAAGGGCTCCATTGTTGTCCCTCCACATTTCAAATTAAAAACCCTAATAATGGGGAAATTGATCGTTGAAACAAATAAGACAGAGAGAGAAAGGAGAAGAAAAAAGGGTCGTAACTTTGATTAGGGAAAATCAGAAAAACGAGAATGAACAAGTGTGTGTGAAATCATAGTGTTGCTCATTTTGTAGGTGAACGGGGATGGTGTGTTTATTTGTACTTTGCAGTCTCTTGTGTTGTATATGGGTGCATGTACCTTCCCATCACACTACGTATTTCAATACGGCCACCATGGGACATTTCACATTTGGTACCAAAATCAAAACTACGCCCATACATTATTTATAATAATTTTTTATTTAAAATATAAAATATTATAAATTTAATATATTAATAACACTAAACATTATATTTTTAATAAAAATTATTTTTTTTATCATGTTTCATTGATTACACATTAAAAAATTTATTTTAAAAAATATTAATCTTAGTTTTGTATATTAAGAATAAGCAATTAAAAGTGACAAGTTTCTACTGAAAGAATTAATTGTTGTCATGAGGATATAATAGTACAGTAAATGTTATATTTTTTAATAAAAACTTATCATTAGGTGTTTAAAATAATTGCAAGAGTTAAAATTTCCAAAATCTTATAAATTTTTATAATTAAGATCAATTTTAATATTTATTTTAATTATATTTAATAATTTAGAATTATTTTTTCTAAATTTTAAAATAAATAAGAACTTAAACTTTTTAATCAATAAAATTTATATCTAGAAAAAGGAATAATCTATCTAGTTTTATATTTAAAATGTGAGTGTTAATTTTATTATTTTAATAAAATATTTTCATTTTATATATACCCAATAAGAATTGTATAACCTTTATTTATATAAACGATTTTGAGTTAAATAATTAGTTTTATTAATTATAGCAAATAATGCAAAAATGTAAAAGGGTAGTACTTTTTTGTTTCACTTGTCTTGCAATATTTGTTGGTGCTATAATGACGCACTTCAATTTAAATCCCATTCACAATCTTCTAACAAACAAGTTTGCATTGGTTTGACTCCACGTAGATTACTTTAAGTTGCTACTTATTATACTAAAAGTCCATTAGAAAAATAGGTTAACTCACCTTGTTTCATTTAAAAAATCAATTAAATTTTCTATCTCAACCTATCTAAGGGTGAGTTGGTGTGGTAATAAGCCAACTCATCTAAAATTAACAAAAAAATTATTAAAAAATATTTTTTATATCAATAAAAATTAATATTTAATTAATAAATAATTATTTTATTTTTTTAAAATTTAAAAATCTGTCTTATCTTGCCACTAGCTCACAATTTAACGAGCAATAATAGAGTGCGCTAGATGAACAAACGAACCCAATGCATTACTGGCTCGCCATTTTTAGTGAGCTAGACGAGCTTACTTGTTAAACCCAACCCAATTTAACTTCCCTACCTGTAGGTATTTTAAGTGAAAATATTTTATGTTTTCAATTTGCTAATTTTTATGATTTCTATTAAAAGCTGTCAAGTTGGTCTTTATGTTTTATTTTACTTACCATATATACGAAAGTTCAAGTAAAAGGAAGTGAAAAGGCTTCATTTTATATAATTTTAAAATTTTTATACAGTAAAATGTAATTCAAGTGAAAGAATGCAAAATGATCCTTCCATCCCTATTTTCAAGCATTTCCTTGCAATATGGTTTGTTCATCTTTTTTGTTCAAGTTGGTCTTTAACGTATGATGCCTTTTTCTTTTTTATTTATTTATCTATTTCGTTTTTTGTTTTTACCTCGTTCCAGTTTCTCTTTCATTGCTTTTTCTCAATTTTTCTCTTACTAACGGTTAAATAAGAACGTTGAAGTTAAGGATCGTGAATGTTTATGGGATTGTATGGAGTTTTTATTTTCTTTGTTTACTATCAATAATCGATTAAGCTACCTAGCATTTTAATTTCATCCATGTTTGATACAATTTTTTCCCCCAAGAAATTATTTGCCATTACTATTGAAAATTGAAGGTTACATGATTTATCTCTCTTTTTTTAAGCATTTTAAAATATATTTAACCTTTTATTGAGATACACCAATATGCCTTCATTATTGTTTTGTGATTCAAGAAGGATTCAAATATTAGAACAACTGATGCAAATTGTAAATTTATTCTTTTTCTTCAAAGTAAGATTAGTGCTCTCAAATTTTAGAATTTTTTTTTCTTTTTTTCAACATTATTTCGTTTCTTAAAGGTATTATCTTATATACTAATTCTACTATTTGAGTATCATCTCATGCATAGTATTTCATTTATTTCTTAAAATGCTTGCAATGGAATAGTATAGAAGAAGTTTCAACGTATTGTTATGCCCTTTCTATTCTCGCTCGTTCACTACAAGAAATTTGATTGTATCATTTTCTATTAGATCAATAAAAATTTTAAATTGAACCTGCTAAGATAAAGAGGTCATTATGTGATCTCCACAACGTTTAACTTATTAAGAGCACAATAAGTGATAGTGTTGTTGTTATAAAGGTTTTAACGTTGTTTTGTGTAATGTTGTTTGATGGTTGTCGAATTGAATAATTATAATGTTTTATAGGGAATATTAGACAATCATCAAAGTAATAAAATGTTTATTAGTTTGGATGTTTTATTTTGGTTTTGAATTATTTGTATCAGTAAGAATACAGATTTTATGAAATTTCTTATTCTTTGAAGTTTAAAGATTCAGAAAACAACTTATTTAATATTAACTACACACTTTGAGAGAAAGTAAGCAACATAAATATCAGTTGTACTATAGTAAATGTATTCAAATGGAAAGAGCTAGAGAAAAAAAAAATGAAAGGCAAAGTAAGCAAGTTTACAAATGTTGGTATAATGAATTTATTCAACTCAGCTAACCCAAACTCATCCAATAAAATAATGAGGTTGAATTTTAAAATTTTGAACCTAAATTAAATTTGAGCTTTTCAGTCTGATTTTATCAAATTTTATGTAAGTAAAGCTTACAAAAATTGAAAGAATCGAGTTTTACCACTTTTAAGTGCTATTTGTGTGAGCTTGATTTGTATCTGAACTCTTTTTAATTAATCTACTAAAGTTTGTTATAAGCCATAGGCCAATACAAATGGGTTGGATAGTTGGCTTTGTCAACTCTAATTTTATTAAAATTTTGAATGTAGACTCAATTTAAGAGGAAGGAAGAGATTAGGCTTTAAGTTTGAGTGACCAATTCTTTTGAAATATAAACAATTTAAACTCATGACCCTTTTGTTTATATATCGTTTAATTGATTGTTAATCCACCAATTTAAGATTTTTGTATTATTCAACATTGTCCTCAAATTCAACTAATTTTGATCAAATTGTGACTTGCATTTTTACGTTTTTTTAGTTTGTACTTGTACTTCAAATTTGAACCTCTACCTTAGGTCTTTTATTTTGTGGTGCAAGCTTGTGCTCCTTTTCTCTTGAACTTATTTTTAAGACCATATACCTATTTTTTTTTTTTAAATTAATTTATATTTTAGTTTGATTTAATCCATTTAAAAAATGAGTTTTTTTTTTTTGCTTTAATGTTTGATCAAACTCTAATACCATAATAAAATTTTGAATATAGGCATGATCCAAGGATAAAAGAGAGATTGAACTCTAAGTTTAATTGAGTTGTAACAGCTTGCCTAGGCAAGGAGTTGCAAGAAAAATAGAGAGCTCTTTAGACTCATTCATGCTCAGGCGAAATGAAAATCATTCAGGCGATGTTGCCTATCGCTCAAGAGAGAATGTTTGGTTAAAATTGAGTAGTTCTACTGTTTGGTTTTCTCGTTCAAGCGAAGAAGGTCTCACTCAAGCAAAAAAATGACTTGCTTAAGTGAGAATTTGCTCGCTTAAGCAAGAATATGTGGATCTAGAAGAGTATTTAAGGAACTTTAACGTTAAAAATTTCATTTTTACTCCTCAAAACAACTTTCCCTCTGTTCTCTCACATTTATTCCATCTAGATCCAAGTGTCTTGGAACTTGGTTCTCCAACTTCATTCCTTTTTCTCAGTTTTCTCTTATCTAAAGTTTTATGCTTTTGTGATGCTCAAAGAAACCTTAACCCTTAAGACGATACCCTCCATTGAGACATTATGTCTCTCCCTTGGATCTCTAAGGCTATGTTTGGGAGTTAGGTTTAGGAGGGGAAGGGAAGGGAGGAGAGAGATTAGTAGGGAATTAATCTTGTTTGGGAGTTGCTTAATTAGGAGGATAAGGTTTTAAGGGTTTTTCTAAATTCTCCAAAAGTTTATTTTTTGAGTTCTCCCATTTTGGGGGTTTTCTCTCTCTCACTCTTTCATATTATTTTACAAATAGGATTTTTTTAACTTTTTTTTTCTTAAATGTTAGTTTTTCAAGTGATAATTTTTTTAAAAAAAAATTTAAAAATAAAAATATTAATTTTAAAATTATTTATATAAGTAAACCCCATAGTCACTCTCCCTTCTCAATATTAAACATCCAAACAAGGGAGGGGTTTAACCTCCTTCTCTCTCCCTTCCCTTCCCCTCCTTCTCCTTTCAAACCCTTCCCTTTCCTCTCCCTCCAAACTCCCAAACAAAGCCTAAAAAAACTTAGTCCAAGAAACTCATTTGCAGGTAAGGAGAGTTGATCTCAAACACTAATTCTTTTTTGGTATTTTGGTTTGAAAACACTAAGTTTTTCTATTAGAACACTAGAATCCTAATGTTTTCTTAAAATCTAAAGTGTAAGAATAGAGAGTTGACATGGAAATCTATGATTATTTTCAAAACTAGCTAAATACAATTTGTAACAAAAGCTCTGAACAAAAATATTTTGAAAAATATTATGATTTTACTAGTAAACATTGTTCAAAGGTAGTTAAGATTTGCATATTTGATATTTTTAGAATAATAGACACATTGTGAATATTGTATGATATCAAACTTTAGGAAAAATGACTTTATTAATACTGAAAAAGTATGTTTATTGAAATTGCACGATTGGTTTGAGTCCGAAGGTATTTGACTTTTGACACATTGTATTGATCTGATATGAAATTCATTGATGATCTTTCTGTGATGGACTGATATAATATGACAAATAGGAATGTTTGTCTTATGACCGATGTATGTTGAAATTAGTGGATTTGAATTATCGAAAAAAAGTGAATAATATGATATGATTGTAAAATTATGAGATATGTGATTATAATAGTGAGTCATAACTATCTAATATGTGTGATTATGATACATGTATTGTAATAAATCTTAAAGGTATATTTATAATAAATATATTGTAATACATGAATTTATATAAATCATAATTCACATATTATGACATGCTGATCGATGAATAGAGATGATATGAGAAATGCTGAAAATAAGTATAGATAGTCACAGAGATACACAGAAGGTGTAGAAGATAGGGGCGATTGCAAAAATTTAGGAGAAATGAGGGTGGTGGATACTTTTCTATGAAATGCGCATAATTAATGAAAATAAAGGAAAAGGACATCACATGCCTTATACTCATTTCTTGACCTAAATCCCTTATCACACTTTTGCTAAAAGGAGCTAGGTTAGTACATGTTGTTTTTGTGTGCAGTAGCTATCCAACAACTATATATGTTATGAAGTCCTCAAGGGATCCTAGGGGTAATGTATATGAAAGTGTGATGAATGTAAAGTAGTATAGAAATTGTGTGATTATAATATATGCAATGTAACATATTGATTGATACTGTTATAATATATGTGTTGTAATATATTGACGAGTGTGATTAAGACATATATTGTGACATATTAATTGATGTAATATAATACATGTATTATGATATACAGATCGGTGCAGATATGTGATTGACTTACTATATGTGCTCTGCTATGATAATTGTTGGTTTGATCTTTGTGTTATTAGTAATGAGTATATATTAAAAGGTGTTAGATAATAATTTTAGTTTCATTTAAAGTATTTTATCAAATAAGAGATTTAGTGGGGTAAAAAAATACTCATCATTACTAATATTTTTTGGATAATGAAAATGAAGAGATAAAGATGGTTAATTCATTCTACAATTATAATCCAGTGACCTTGTGAGAGAATATTGCTATGTAGTATTTGAATTAATTGAAGTGTGTAATATTTTATTAAGTTTTCATTTTCAGTTAATAAAGTTATCTAATTATTTCATATTAAACTTATAATTTATATCATTTTGATAAATTTTGTTGCAAACATTGATTTAAAACGTTTGTAATATTAATAGTAAATTATTTTAATTTTAATTTGCATTCAAATTCTAGATAGAAAATTATTATGCAAAAAACAATGTTACTTATGTCTTAAGTCTATATATACATAATGTAAATTAAATAAATTATTGGAATAGAAATCTTATTTTTTGCTTTACCTGATGAATTGAAAATCCTGAAAACTATTTTATTTTCAAGCTTTGGATATTTTTGAGTTTTCATGAATATAATAATAGGAGTATAAGTTTTACAAATTTTCAATTTTAAGTTAAACATATAATAATAAATTCATAAACTTTTTATTTCTAATTGTATTTTATCATTTATATTAAATAAAAAATAAGAATGTTACAACTTATTTGATCAAAATACCTTAGGTGATTTAAACTTATGATCTGACTTATATACTCTTTAGTTGGTTCCTATTCTATTAAGCAAATACTTTTATTCTCTAAAATTTAAATTGTTATTTTACTTTTTAATGTAATTTAAACTTTGTTATAGATAACTTTACAAATAAAAAAAAATGAATAACATTGTGGGCAAACAAAATAGTACATAAAAGTTTGATAAACTAGTTTTATATTTAATGGATCAATTTTAATTTTCAATATTTTGTATTTTTTAATAAATTATATGTTTAATGATTTATTTCTAAATATTAAGTGCATTGTATTTACTTTGTTTTCTATTAGTTAAGTTTACTTACATGACTATACACTTTTATTTATATCATTTTACTCATTTACTTAATTTTATTTTTAATATTGTTATAGAAAAGATGTCTTAAATTTGTTATCTCTTTCCTCTCTATTTTTATATATTTTTAAAAATATATTAAACATTAAAAAATTTATATTAAATTATTTTTGCATAATTTTAAAATTAAAAATATATTAAATTATTTATATATTTTTTATAATTAATAATAAATAACTTATATAGAGTAAAAAATTAAAATTTAATTTAGTAAATATAAACAAAAGAGTAATTTTTATCATTTTTTACATATTTATGTGATCTTTCTTTTTATCAAATCTATATCAAAACATTAAATATAATAAAAGCTTATCTTACTCTTTTCATATCTATTCTTATCTAAACCTCTTATTCTAATTATCTGATTCTATTCTAATCACCAAAACAACCCTTATTTTACAATATCTCTAGATAATGAAATTATTTATGAAATATAGAGTATTAAAAAAAAAACTTGATATGATAGTTAAATAATTGATGACCATGTTTCTAGATTTTTTTTTAACAAAAGAACATATATAGATATAGATACATTTTTTTTCTTTGTAATTTTTTAAATATATTTTAAAAATACCCTACTAAGCAAAGCTTCTTTTTCAAATTGTATTTAATCTTTTTTTAAATGTACAATGCTTTTTTCTAAAAATAACTTTTTTTTTATTCAACTAGGTCTAAATAATTTGTTACATTTTTTTTAATTTCTGAAGAAATCTCTTATACTTGATGATCGGTAACTTTATCTTTAAACTTTAGACTTATTAAATAAATTGATTCATAAAATAATCTTTGAAAAGATAGTTTAGAAGATCCATTAAATAATTCTTTAACAAACATTTAGACGTGTCTCTTTAAAATAATTTTTCTTAAACATAACAAATATTTTATTTTTTTTAAGTTTATATTACCATCAAAATTTTGAAGATCAACATTCTTCATACTATATTAATTCTGACACTTGTAAAAAATTATATTCTAATTTCACAACTATCTCAATTATATGAAATATTAAAAAAAGTATTTTTATACTATTTCACCAAGTTATTTGGTGAAAATGAATAGTACAAAAAGTAGTCCTCCTCTTAAAATTTATCAAGTTGTTCCAAAGAGCTACCATGCTTGCCATATAACATACATAATGCTTTATGACACAATAAGCAAGAATTTAAGAAAACGTTATCAAATATTGTTCTTTTATTTTAACAGTGACAAACTTGAAAATGTGAAGATTCATTAATAACATCATCATAAATAATTTAAACTTATTTCTTTGTTTAATTATTTTTGCATTGGCAATCTTGTAATTATAAAAGTTAACAATGAGAATTTTTTTGAGTAATAATTTTATTAACCTCTGCCATATTAGGTAATTTTAAACATTTAACAATAGTATTTTTTTATAAAACAAGAATAACATTATTATACTTTATTTTTTTAATGTAAAAAAAAATTCTTTTTTAAATAAAAGCTTTCCCACTTTCAGTGGTTTAACCTCCACCAGAATGTTTGAAGTTAATACTTTTTCTTTAAATCATTCAAACCGAAAAAATAAAAAAACAATCAAGTATCACAAATCTTAACATACAAGATATTTGGAAAATCTGTCCAGTCGCCATCCATTATTGTTTTCAAAATTGTTTTTAGTTGAAATCTATATTAGAACTATCTTAGAGAACAGAAAAAGCAAAAACGCATTCAAACCGCCTTTGTACATTTAAATTGATGATTTCACAACATAGTAAAACCTTATCACCAAAAAATGACCCCTCATTAGAATCTATGAAAACACAACCTCAGCAGGTAGATAATAGCAGTATGGAAGAATGAGACAGTAATTGGTTTGTAGGATGTCTATTTCTTAGTGCATGACTTCCGTACCAAGCAGTTGAGATCGGCACTGCAATTAAATAATCACGATTGATAAAACATAAAGTTGGAACAACATTGGCATGTGATATGAATTGGATGAGAATCATGTTTCCAGATCCAAGCAATTGCTTTAATTGTAATGAACAAATGGGTTGAAGACCCTATGCAAACAGAATTAATAGTAACTACAAATGGCAATTGCAAGGATATCCTAAACTGTTACTAAAAAAGCCTAGACCTAACCCGGTCAATTGAGCAATGGATTCATAAATTCATAAAAAGCCATGTTAGGTAACAATTAAACATCTATTCCACTTGCTATTGACGACTCTTCTTTGCTGAATGACCAGTCTTTCGCTTATGACGACTGAAATCAGACACAAATCTGAATGTTTGACCACAACCTGGCTCAGCACATACATAAGGCCGTGCACCAGTGTGGACTCGAATGTGCTCTGTACGAGCCCATGCCCACTTGAAAGTCATTTTGCACCCCTTCCAAGGGCACTTCAAGGGACGGTCATCCTCATGAACCCGGCGGTGCTGCACTAGATACTTGTGTGAGAAAAACTTCTTCCCACACCCTTTAACAGGACAGATATTTCTCTTATGATGCACCAGCTCCTGTTTTGACCCAAAACTCATAGTGCACCCCTCAATGTCACACTGGTATTCTGCTTCCTCATCCTTCACTTTGGCATGCCCAGCTGAAACCTTTGCAGCAGCTGTGGCATTCTTCACCCTTTTCCTTTTGGTTTGCTTGTCTTTTACTTTTCCTTCAGACTCCTGAGCTTTTGCTGATCTCTTCCTAAGGCGTGTGCTAGGTCCACCTTCCTCCTCCTCTTCCATATATAAACTAAATTCTCTGGAGTTACTAGATTGCTTGTTCTGCAAATGAGAAGGCTGTTTTATTTGCTGAGGAGCCTTTGATTTCATAAGCACCCGAGCCCCCCGCCGAGATGTCCGGTTTTTCACTTGGATGGATTTAGCTTGTTTCATCTGTTGAAGTGTCTTTGCTTTGGATTGTTTACTTCGAAGAGCTCTCATTGGCGGCTGATGAGAATCATCTTCCATTTCATCATCTGAATTTATATCATCTTCGTCCATGCATTTAGCTTGCCTCCTTTTAGGAGTTCTACGCAGCAGATGAGAATTATTGTCAGCTGAGTCATCCATAACTTCTTCATTAATGTGTTTGTTTTGCCTGCTCTTGGAAAATTTTCTCTGCTGCTTCTGAAAATGATCCAACAATTGGTCATCAGAAATCACATTTTTAACTTCTCTGTCAATGCCTTTATATTGTCTTTTCCCAGAAAAACTGGTTTGCTGCCTCTGACAGTTATCTTCTGATTGGTCATCAGACATTTCATCTTCCCCTGCTACACATTTCGCCTGCTTGCCTTTAGGAGCCCTTCTTTGATATTTCCGATAATAGCCCTCCAGTTGGTCATCTGATACAATATCCTCTTCAGCAAGGTATTTGGCTTGTCTGCTTTTAGGATTCCTTTGTTGCTGCTTCTGCATTTTCAGCTCCAGTTGGTCATCAGATATCATTACATCTTTTCCAGCTAGATATTTGTCATGCCTGCTTTTAGGAATTTTCCTTTTCCCCTTTTGAGAAAGATTCTCCATTTGGTCATCAGAAATTATATCTTCTTGACCAATGTTTTTGGCATGCTTGCCTTTAGAAGTCTTCCTACGCAGCTGAAGAGAACCAACACCCAAAGAATCCTCTGAAATTGCATCTCTGTCTGTGTCTTCAACTTGCTTGCGGCTAAGTTCTCCCATCTGCTGCCAGTCAGAATCATAGTTCACTGTATCATTTGAAACTACATCATTGTCAATAAATTTAGTTTTTCCAACAATATCATTTCTCCAATGCTGCATATGATCATTATCATTAAGTGAATCATAAGAAGCTGCATCACTTTCACTGCACTTTGTTTGCTTCCTTATAGGTTTTCTACGATGATGTGGAGGAGCATAACCCACTTCCAAAGCAGCACGATCTCTCTCAACACACCTGCTTTTCTTACTTCTAAGAATCCTCCTTGGCTGAGAGTTGGGTTTATCTTCAGTGGAATTATCTGAAGCTATATTTTTCTTGGCAAGACTTCCTTTCCTGGTCCGTGCACTTTCCCCTGTTATTTTCCTTTTCCTACCAGATTTTCTGCTAGTAGTTTCACTTTTGGGGTTACTTTCTGGTCTTTCAATTTTCTCATCAGGTAATATCCATCCATGTAATCTTTTCTCATCCTCAAAATCATCAGAATCTTTTTTTGCTAAAAGGGGATGAATCTGATTGGACATCCAAACTTTACCACACCATTTCCCAGCAACTACCTTTTTCTGCTTGCTGGACCTTCTCTGATAGACCTTTGGTTCAATGGGTGAGCTTGTTGGAGAGCTACGACCAAATGCATAGTATATTACAGAATTGTAAGGCATCTGCTTACTATAAAGAGGAGAGCGGCTAAGATTTGCACTATAAAAGAGATTGATTCCTAGCTTTACAGCCCAGTCCCCATTTCCAGGAATAGCTTCCTCACTATCCAGAGCTGACTGGATCCTCTCCTCATCCTCCTTGGTGGCATGCCTGTATGCAATATTCTTCCATGTGTAATCAATCCCCAAATCTTCTCCCACCAATTTTGCCTCAGCCTCTATTTTTGGATAATCTATAGAAATATATAAAACAAATAATGAATGATTTGCAAGGAGGAAAACCTGTAACAGTAACTACAATATTTTTCAATTAATAACAATGAGGTTAATCAATAATCATAATCTTACGCGAGATGCAGAAAATGAAGATAATCGGTCAGTAAAAATGAGTTATACACCAACCATCATCAATCTATGACATCTACATGAAAAATACTTATTCAAATAAAAAAAAACGTTAGTTTAGATATCCTAGCCTATGAATGAATATTGTCATAACTTGTCATATGACATACATATAACCCATCTATGACTTCCAAAAACTATATAAATTAAAAAAAATAAACAAACCAAAAATCAGATCCATGATTGTTTGATGAGGTTTAATTTTGATTCACAAATAATGTAAAAAAAGAAAAATCAGTGAATTGTGGTGCCATAGCCACCTACTTAAAAAGCAGGTAAAAGCTCTCAATAGAAGTGAAAAGTATTGGCTGCTTCAATGATTTAGTATCTTCTTATTTCCAGATAGTGTAAAAAGTCTCACACTGACAATGAGTCAAATTCAAGGCCTTACAGATGTTGGATAACCTTTCCATTAAGGAGGAAAAACAAAAAATAACTTTCTTAATTTGGGACATAAATTAACGTAACTTTCATCACAAGACTCTCATATTTCATAACCACAGTTCCCTAGCTCCTTAAACCAGTTTAAACTCTGAATTTATCAGGTGTTCATTCTCCAAGAAAAACAACAGTGGCATAAAACAAATAAGTAAATTTTTTTCCACAAGAACTTGGGCATGAGACAAACAATGCAGCATAAATTTAATAGTTAATCAATCAACCTACAGACCTGGATGACAAAGCAGCAATATGTGGGCTCCACCTATTGGGCGAAGTTGCAGCTCTGCTTCCACAGCATGCTCTAGACAAAAAATATGCATTCTAGTCGAGTCTTCATCAGATTTTGGTACCAACGAAACATTTTTATTATCAATGGGAACTACAGGGTTGACAGACAATGACCTTTCAGCATCATGAGAATCTTGGGAACAGTTAGAGGTGGAATTAGGCACTGTCCTCGTATTTTTAAATGTAAATCCTGAAGTGACATCATAATCTTGTTTCTTGGAAGAGTGGTCAAAAGACTCATGACTCAAATTACACTCAAATCTGTGATGCATATGATCCTCATAATTGACACTCTTTGAAGGAATATCATCTACCCTATCAAGTGCAGTCATGGGACTAGCATGGAAATCTGGAGTAAGAGAAAGTAATCTTCCTGAATTTGAGTTTATCACATTTGATTCATGACTGTCAACTGCAATATCTGGGTCACCCTGATCTTCCTCAGAGTCAGAATTTCCATATGCTGAAGCCAATAATGCAAGAGCTGTATTGCCTCTCTCTCTTTCAGTACTTAAAGCATCCTGACCAGATTGAACAGGAAAGTCATCAAAACCATCTTGGTCATTTTTTTTCATCCAACCTGCATGATGGAACAAAATGGATAAGTTCTTTTAAGTTTTATCTAAACCCTAACCAAGGAACACAAACAAAGAAATTATATATGGCAAATTAATAAAGCAATGGAGATATAAAAGGCCTTTTAGCAGCTTAGATACCTAAGTTGTGCTTTCATATACACATTATTAAGTCTTTGTATAGGGCATTAGTACATGTTCCTGTTTCCCTGTTATCCCAAATAAAAGCTTATCATAATTAGCTTCACTATTATGCAACTAAAGACTAGTTTATGTCACTGATGGAAGGGGAACTCAGATTCTTCATCCATCAAAAGACTAATAGAGGCAAGAGACACAAATCTAGTCTTCTAGGGTTCAGGATTGTTGAATTTAGGATTTAAATCTAACTCAACCCCAAAAGCTAGCTCATAAGGTGAGGATTACTTTAGCCTTAGTCATATCTATAGCTAAGGATCTACAATAGACTTTGATACAATGTTGAATTGCTTTAAGCGTAACTCAACATCAAAAGTTAGCCTCTAAGGTGAGGATTGTCGTAACCTTTATAAGTTCTTATTTAGCTATATCTATAGTTGATGTGAGACTTCAACAAGGATTTTAATATTACAACTCAAAACAACTTAACCATCTCCTGGTTAACTAAAGTACCACAGGATCCAAAACAACCTTCTAGACCACAAATAATACCAAAAGGACAATAAGAGAAAATTAAAATATGAGTAGATCAATAAGCATGCTTAAGCCCAGAATGCCATTAAATAATTTATCTAGAATCAAGATTTCAGAAAGGAAAGATTTAGAAAGAAAAAAAGCAGACAGCCCCAGTCCATGCCAAAGCACAGACAGGTCATAATCTACAGGAACAACAATTGTGGTTCTGCTCTACAGTAGGAAATTATCATGATAGGCTGGCAATGCAGCTCTTACAAACAGAAAGACAGTGACCAAATAAATTGACATGCTTCCTCAAGATGGGCCCAAAAAATACCAAGGATGTGTAGTCATTATTGATAAGATTTGAAGGAAACCAAAAACAATTTTAGATAAAATACGAAATGAAACATGAAACACTGGAAATAGAACTTATAAAACCTGCCTGTATACGTATTTGGCTCAGGTATAGTTTTGTCTTCATGGGAAAAAGCAAATTTACTACAAGATACTCCAGATCCAACAACCCAATCATTAAAGAAGCTACAATCAGCTGACATAAGATATCTAGCTGCAGGTTCTTTTGGCTGTACAATAGCAACACAGGAAAAGCTTAATATTCCACATGTAACGCATGAAAATAGTCTCTGATCTGACAACCCATCTCCTTGACTAGTTTCTCTGCCAGTGTTTCTTTGAAGTGGCTTAGAACTTGAAGTGCATATGTTACCATTTACATCAAAAGAGGAAATCCTGTTCCTTTCACACAATGTAGTAAACTTGTCTTTCACAGAATAGAATATTTTTTCTTGCTTGATTCCATGACTCCTGTTGAATACCAGATCATCTGAAACAAAACCTTTCGAGGAATTCATTCCCTCAGAATTGCTTACATTGATGGATTGTTGGGATCCAACTCGTAATTTTGAGCAAACAGAAATGTCAACTGAGCTACGAGGAAGAAGTACTACAGCAGATTCTTTCCCAAGTATATGAAGCAAATCATTGCTCTGTAACACATCCTGGACAAAAAGTTCTTTAATAACAGTTTCTCCTTCACCCTTCTTCTTATCTTTAAGACGAGAACTACGAGGTTCAGCATTGATGCTTGTAGGGATTCTGCATGGAAAAACAAAGAATATTTACAAGGAGAATATATTAAAACAGATCTTATGGTCGTCAGCATCACTGTCTGGGTGCCATGATCAAACTATATTGCATGACATTCTGAATAAAGGAAAGCTAAAAAGCAAATGGTCAGTATTGGAAAAATAAATACACATTTATATTAATGACCAGAATGATTTATCCATACATTTTTAAATTGGAGAATACAATTGCATCTTGAAACTTCATTAAGTTAATAAGATATCATTAATAATTGCATCAACCTACTAACAAAAAGAAAACAAAAGATAAGTCTGGTTAAATATCAGCAGTACACTCCTATAGCCAATTATAAGAAGCTACAACAAAAAAGACAAACCTAGAACACAAAGCTAAGGCAAGGTCATAAAGTAACTGGAAATGGGAAACCATGGGAGGATAATTTATTGAAGCCCTCCGAATAGCAGCATCTTTTGCAACCCTCAACCACTCAGGTGTTGCAATGTTTGCTGCCTCTCCGCAATTAAAACCTACATGGCATACATTCAAAGCATCAGAAACATTCAACTATTGGCAGAAACAATAATAATAAGTAACATTCTTCGATAGTTGGGTGTATTTCTTACCATGACTAAACCCAGTGTGATAGGCTCTAGGAAACGTCACAACAAATTCCCCAGCATTTTGTACCAACCTGATTCAAAGCAATTTAAAGTTAAAGAAGCACATAAAACACCATACAGGATCACTGAAAAAGAAAATAATGGCTTCTAACAATTGTGATGGTGATGATTACCAACATCCATTAGATATTCAGAAGAAAAAAAATATTATGGGATAAAAGAAGGTAACAACAGCAACTAGGGAGAGGATATGATATTATTTTAAGCAGAAAAAGAAATTATAGAAGAAAAAGAAGAGAAAACCAAGCATGCAGCAAGACTTTACTGTCGCTCTGCATGTCAGAAATGGGGGCTCCCCTGAAACAGCCATAGCAGGGCACCCGAGAGAAAGCATGAAAACAATCCTATGCCAAATCAAATATAGAGAAGAGAAGCCCTTAAAGATGAGGGTGCTCCAGCCCAACCAAATACACCAGACAACTGCATAAGCTATACACTGCAACACCATTTAGGTCTCCCAGTTTCTACCAAAACCTTCAAAACTAACTATTAGAAACTACTTCCAAGGTCCAGGCACCAAGTAAAGGAACACTCAATATTCATTTGGTACACCACATGATTTCAAAGGGAAGGAACCGTACAGCAATGGAAAAATAGAAACAAATCATTTGAAATGAAAATAGATACTTTAACAATGAATTCCAGCATCCAATGACAGTTGAAAAAGAAAAAGTTAAAGGCTTTGACTAGGGATACATTTCCTGCAAGATTGTATTTGAAATCCAACTGCATTCCCTTCAACAGCTTTAAAGTTGAAATTGATTTGTGTGGGACAAAAACAAGCTGTGATTCAAAGTAAATACCACCACTTACTCACCCCAGCAAAACTGGTAGTGTTAGTAATTATACCAAGATCACCACAAAATACAGTATGATGTTCATAAATATTAGTACCTGCAGCATGGAACACCTGCTCTAATAAACACTTCAGGCGACATCACTGTTGTTTTCTCACCAAGAATAGCAAAAGTAACTGTGGAATGGAAACAAGACCTGTGTAAGTTTTGTAACATGTGTGATCCATATATAAAGACAAAGATCAAGTATCATCCCCTTAACATATGGAAATCACTATCATTCATCTCAGTAATCCCAGATGGAAATCACTAGCAAGGTGATGTGTTTGCAGATAGGAATTGAAAGAAAGAGACAGGTGTTGCCTGCTCAAATAGGGGTAGATTTTTAAATTCCAAAGAGTAACTTTTCATTAAAATTTAGGTCAATCAATAGAGTCGGAGATAAACAGAGTCGGGTCGATGAACAGAGCTGATATTCCTAAAGCAATGAATCGGTATCCTAAAATCAACAATGTAAACCCTATTTTTGTCATCTTACATTATTTCACCCACTTTTAACTGGCTGAGATTAAAAAAGAGGGCTAAAACTTAAATCTAAACTCAAGGATCTCAATAGTGAATTTTGTTTACAACAATCATGTCTCAATCTGATAGCATGACAAGAAACAAGTACACATCCTTCCATTTATAGGTAAAAATGCATATCATGAAGAAAAAGAATGAAATAAACTATCTGGCTACTTCCTAGTAAAAGAATGGAAGATTACAGGAACATATGTAAACAGTTCCTAGGGTTGCAAATATCTCCTCATCTTGCTGACAGCAGAACAAAGCAGGACATTCCATATTCAGAGTACGGACTACAGGAGTCAATAAAGACTTTTACCCTCCAGAATGGATTCGAAAAACAAAATCCTAAAATATATTTGTTTTCGAAACACACTCCCCAAAGCTCAATCTATGAAAGGGAAAAGCAGTTACTTTTGGACAAAACTGGAATTTGTACAGTGCTTCAATCCACTAAAACAAAAACACCGTTATAACTCTAGCCAAATAACACAAAAGAGATAAATCTACACAAATTTGTTCTGTAATCCTCTGTTAAAGTCAACAGAAGTCCATATCAGTCCCGAATCAATCAACAGAACTGAGTCAAGCGAAGAAGCAAAAAAAATGTAGACAGATGCAGAACCATACTACTGCAGGCAATGCTAGCAATCACCATCTGCAAGAACCTAAATAACCTAACAAAGTTGATGATTTTAAAAAAAAAAAGCTTGCAAAAACTGCATGCCAAAACAGAATTCAACGGTCATTTGTAGTCAAACCAAAATCAAATTCCAACCGAAGACGGCAACATAAACAAGCAAATAAATTGCATTGCATGCGGTTATGCTACATCTCACCAAGAGGGTTTATCTCTCCACCATAGCCATGAACCCTAACTACTTCCTCAAATGCAACGGCGGCATCACGAGGAACTCCGTACCAGGTCTTGCCGGCGCCCATGTGGAGGTAATTCAAGCTGTGCAAGTCGTGGTCCTCCACGTGCCAAGCAAACCAGCTGAAAAGCATGGCCACATACACCATAGGAGAAGTAACGCCCGGAATCTCCTCCTTCATGAACCGTAAGAGTGAACCATTCGCCCTTGAAACCTCTCTCATGTTCCATGGAGTGTCAGCCAGAGAGGAGCCAGGATCCCCTGCTTCGCAGCATTTCGGGGAGAACGCAGAACCGGGCATGTCGTTGGCGTACTCCACGGAGAAGGGTTTGTCCAGCGTGGCCTTCCAGAAGAGCGTCTCGGTTTCCAGTGGGCCTGGGCCCGGGCCCTTCTTGGTGTGGCGTTTGAGGTAATTTTTCTCGAAGGACTTTGCCTTGGACTCGAACTCGTGGAAGGTGTAATGATCACCGCTCTGCCAAACAGACCGCCGAACGGGCCGGGCTTTGCGGGGGCAAAACCCGATCTGCTGTTGGCGAGTGGTGAATGTGGAACCTGTAACCGCCAGCGACCGGTTGAGGTTGGCGATGGCGGTTTTCTTTGGGGAAGGTGGGAAGGGTGGGATGATTTTGCAGATTCCGTACTTGGAAGCTTCCTTCTCTATCTTGAATATGTAGCCAATTGGATCTCTGAACTCGGCCACGCTTGGCCTGTACTCCGGAGCCACCGGTAGTGATTTCAGCCATGGTAAAACGTCGCCGTTTCCCTCTGAAGCCCCCATTAATGAGTTTCTATGCTTCTCATTGAACACCCCCACACCACACCAAGTTATTCTGATTCCTCTCTTTTCTTTTTAATATCCCTTCACTTCCTCTGTTAACAGAGGAAGGAATGGTGGATAAATAAAAATAAATTGGGGGCAGAGGCAGGGGCAGGGGAACCGAGATGAATGAGGCGAGGCAGGGCAGGGCAGGGCAGGGGTCAGCAGAATTAAGTAGTAGAAGTAGAAGACATGTGAGGGATGTGTGAGTTGGGGGGTTTTATTTGAGGAGGCATGGTTTTAGGGAAGTGCCACTGTTTTTCATTGATTTATCAAAACTGCCATTTTCCCTTTCCCGTTTAGTTATTTTTGTAATGAATCCGCTTTTGGCGTTTTTTGGTTTATAGATAAATAAATAATTATATATGCAAAAATAATAAATGGGTGAAGTGCTTTTGCAGATGTGCCCTTTTTCTGCCGCTTGCTTCTCTTACTGTGGGTTTTGTTGTTCTATTTTTACCCCTTAGCTTTTTAGGGCCGAATTGTATGTATGATGTCTATTGACTATCGATGATGTGGTCACTGGGGTCGCTGGAGAGTCAAAGACGACCCCACGGATTCATGACACGTCAGAGGAAGAGGTCGCTTAAAGTGAGACACGTGTCTTAATTTGATTGGTTTCTGTGGGGACCACTGTAACCCCTGGTTGCATGAAATAACTAAATTGTGCGGACAGTTTGGGATGAAAAAATCATGGAAATTAGGCTCCGTCATGGATGTTAATCACATAAAGGTCAGCAACACTATGAGTGTGCATAATTATAGTTATGTATCTGTTTTGATTTGATTGCTAGACTCGATTAATCATTTTCCTTTATGGTAAAAATCAATGTCAAAAACATTTAATTATTTAACAAATGATAACAACCTGTTAGCTTATTACTACAAGGCTAACGTTAAGCGCCTTCCAACTGTTCTTTCTTTTTAATTTGCAGGCACTCGGCCCTTCGTTTCTTTCAGGTGGCATGGAATGTGAGTCCATTCATCGTATGCTACAAAGGTAAAATCTATGGGTATTCAGCAATTTTAAGGTAATTTTTAGATAATTCAACGTCATGTAATTTTTCTGAAAAAAAAAAAGAAAAGAAGAAGAAATCACCCAATTTTGACTACTTTCATTAACATTAATTTTTTTTCACAAATTAAAGGATTTATTCACATAGAATTAATATGAGTAGTTATGATGACATGATTTAAACCTCTTAATAACTGTATGGAGGGGTATAATGTCCTTCTCATTTTAAATCACATAAAATAAATATTTAGATTAATTAACATTTTATACAGAAGGATTTATTAAACATTTATTTATTTATTAATTCTTTTAGAGATTTTTTAATTATTATTAACAATTCTTTAAATTTAAATTTGATAACTGTATTATAATGAGAACACTAAACTAACTTTTATTTGTATTTGTTTTAAGTTTTGAATAGGGGATTAATATATATTTTTGGAACATTTAGTTTTTTCCTTGTTAGACTCTTTAATAAAGTAACATCACCCGTACACTGATGTATATGGATCCTAAATGTCCAAGCCATCCTTTTTCAACCATTTCACGCACTCCATGATTTTTTCATAGGTTTAAGAACAGCAAAAAGAATTTATTAATTTGCATGGCTGTAATGAGTTTAAATAGAATCATTTTCCTTTTTGTCGGAAGCTTGATTCTAGACCACTTATCCTTTGTAAAGTATTTATATTCTCTACCATCTGTTCACATGTATTATTTTTCATCAGCACATTTGGGTTGCTCCATTTTTATTTTTATTTTTATTTTTCTATTTTAGGCTGAATTATTACGATGGCTTGTTAACAAGAAATCTAATGATTCCCAAAAACTATGATTATTATATGATGTCTTAAAAAGATCATGCATTTAAGCATGCTAGTTTTTTTTTTTAAATAGAAATGAAAAAAAATACAATTTCTCAATGCACTTTTAAAGTAAAGACATTTTTGTTGATGTCGTCCAACATTCGCTAGAACAACTTTAATGGTATAACTAATTAACTACTATAATGAAGTTAGTTGTTTACGTTATAAATCCGATAATGATGCATTATTTTTTTTTTATTTTTTTTACAGTTAAAGTAATTATGCTTTCTAATGATGTAATTTCAAAAAGTTTACAAACATAAATCTTGCAAATTATCTCATTTTTGTCACAAGACCATAATCTTTTATAACACCTCTTATTTAATTAGTTTGCTACTTTGAAACACTAACGATCTTTTTTTGAAAGCTACAATTTCTTAACTTGTGCGAGTTTTTTTTATAGGAGAATTATTTAAGTTTTTTTTAATGATCTTAAATTAAAAGTGTTGAAATTTTTATATTTAATAAATATATTTCAAAAATCATTCACAGGAAATTAAGGAGCTATTTGAATTTTAAATATTATTTTTATTTTTAATTAGAAAACTACCATTATATTTTTATTATATCATGTAATTTTTAAAAATTTATATAAGAAACAGTAGAAACATAAAAATGGTTATTTTCATTATTTCTTCTACAAATATTTAAAAATATAAAATGGATAAAATTAAGATAGTAATTTTATAATTAAAATTAAAATAACGAATATAATTTTTTTTTCCTAAAATTAAACAACTTCTAACATTTCGGGAATATTTTTATTTATATTTTTTTACAAAATATTATTATCAAAGGAATAATAATTTAAGATTCTCAAGAAGACAAAAAATTTAAATTATACTCATGAAAAAATTTAAAAGACTTTTAATTTAAGCATACCCTAAATACATTTTCAAGAACACACATTTGAATGCAATGATTTAGTTTTAGATTGCTTGCTAATCTTATTTATATTGTTTAACAATTAAGCTACAATGAAGCTAAAACAAAATTATTTTATTACTTTTTTAATGGAAAATGTTCAATATTGTCATTTTTTGTTATTTAGAAATCAATTCATGTTTTACTGTTTTTCTTAAATACATTAAGAATATACTCAAGTCAATAATAAAAAACTAATTCCTTGTAAAACATAAATATTATCGAAGTAAACTTACTATATTTAAGAGGAAAAAGTAAGTTTTTATTTTTTATAATCAACTTTATGATAGTTTAACAAGCACACACAATTACCTCATTAAACATTATTTAACAATTAGATAGGTAAAATTGCATTTTATGTGAAAACAATTTGTCAAGTGGTCTTATGCCTTATAACGAGAAAGAGAAAGAAGTATCCTTCTTTTGTGGGCAGAAGCATAGAGGAAATAAAAGCATATAGCGACTGGTGAAATAAAAGACAATTCTCTGAGCATCATGCGAGTTATAATTTTTGCAGGATACCACCACACACCATTTTAATTTCGAAATGATGGTCGAATTGATGGCACCAACTACTTATTTTGTTTTCTTTCTGATGCTAGACTGAATACCATTTGCTGCAATGCAGGTGTTGTAGTTTATGGGGGAATTATCAAGAATTCGGCCATGGTGAAGCACCTCATTTATATACCATAACAATAATAATTTCTATGCCTAAGCAGGTATTGTAGTTCATGCCAGATAACCATGGGGAAAAATAGCTTCTCATTAACGAGACAATAGAGAAATAAATAAGCAAAAATAATACTGATGACAGTGGCTTTGTGACCTTAACAAGAAAGATAACGTCAATCGAAAACCTGCAAAGACAGGAACAAGGTCATGCTAGCTTGTTATTAACAAATTAAAAGCAGTTATGTACGAGTGAGCACCAATTACCACAAACTGCAGTATTGTTTCAGATAGACTCAGTCACACAGATAAGCTAAAGGAGGAGTTAGCCCTAAAACCATATTTAAGTCATGAGTTCCAAATCTTGTATCAATTGCATGAGTAGAAACTTATATATCTTTTAACTCTATCCATTGTCCATGCATTTCACATGCAACAATCTTTTCTTAAGTGCTTCTGAAGCTATAAACTAGTCTATTCTCATCCATTTTCCGCGGCACCTTCAAAGAAAATACACACTTGCTCAAATAGAAAACAACGTTAGAAAGAACACCAGTCCTCGTATTTGCAACACACCACTATGTTTAACCGCTTTCACAGATAATGTCTTTACCTCAATTTCTTACTTTCCAGGCTTTTCAAACTATTGGAATCTCGTTCCTTGCTCCATAAAATCTCCTTTTAAATAAACAAATAATAAGTAATTCAAAAATAAAGGTAAAAGGAGTTGATAAACTACAATAAAAAACAAGTCAATGATCGATGTTAGAGTTTAAGATTTAGAATTTAGGGTTTAGAAGCAAACTTAGATAATTCTCTTGAGAACTGTGGTTATAAACTCTAAAACCAAAACATGTATTGGAAAATATTTTGAATGCAAGTAAGAAGTAATTAAAAAATTAAAATATAAAGAAATTCAATAAATCAAAAGTGATCAAATTTCTATTCCGTTAAGAAAATTTAGTTTTAAAATTAATTTCAATCTAATTCATGAATTTAATTTAAAGAATAAGTGTTTTTCATTTGAATTCCTTGAATGATCACTGAACATGCGTCTTCAATTGATTCAATACGATACTTTTTAATATGATATCAAAGGTTCAAATTACGTGAATGAATATTTCAAGATTGCACGAGTGATAAATTCAACACAAGTGAATTATTCAGAATTATATCAATGTGATTTAAAACCAAATTAAAAGTATTTGTGATAGAATCTAGAAGGTAAGAAATAAAGTTTCAAACTGGATTGAATTAGAAAATGTCTTTTTATTGTTTAGCAAGATCAAATTTGTAGATTGATTTATGAAATTACTCCTACATCATAATTATAAACACAAACACATGTTTAAAGACAATTATCATGAAAAAGCTAAGATAATTTATAAGAAGGAAGAGAATAAATAAGAAAAAAACTCAAATTAACTCAAAATACAAAGTCAACAAAAATGTGAAAAGGAAGAAAATCTAAAAAAGACCCATAATTCTTCCAACTTATCTCTCTTTTATAAAGGCTAACTCTAAACTAAACTTAAGCTAACAAGTTTATAAAGTAAAATGGGTTACAAAGTCTAATTAAGCCCAAATCTTAATTACAAACTATCAATGAATATTTAATTCTTGTAATAACAACATAAGAAAGTTAACGTCAAAT